GGACATGACCATCTTTAGACGAGTCAGCGACTGCGTCAGCAGCACGGCCGAGGATAACGGCATACTTTGCATGACCAAAGCGCTCGCAGAGCCAACAAGAAACGAATCTATCAGAATCTGGGCAAGATTTCGCCCGACAAGGTGTATATAAGTACTCCATGTCCAGTCAAAAAGACAGTTGTGGATTACGAAGAACGGACACAAAAACCACTAAAAACAAATCCTGAACATAAAAATTTATCAACCAATTTGTGCAAAACTTCTCTGTTAGGTTGACACTGTAACGAGAGATCAATAGCAACACAAACTCCAAACAGCGAAAAAATAACAGAGAAAAAAGAGAGAAAACAAAAAAAAAAGAGAGATTTATATCAGAGCTCAAAATATTTGTTTGCAAAAATCAAATGAAACAAAGCGTAAAGGAAAAATATTTCTTTTACTTTGAATTCACTCACTTTCTTGTAAAAGTATGTTATAAATTCAAACACTATAAGGCAGAATAGTCACGAAATTCAACAAAAAATTAAAATATTAATTGCCGAAACAAAATATAGACGACTATACCGCGCGACAGAGTTGCCAGACTTGACTTCAATTGGTAAAGCAGTAAAGTAACTTGAAAATATACTGAAATTTATCTGAAAAAATGCAGTTCTGTGTACTTTTTTATTCAACAAAAGAGCGTAGGTTTACTTTCGTTTTCGTAAGGTATACAAATACATGCCATAGACAGTTTATAAACTATATTTTGTGTCTGCCTTTTATATGCCAGCTCTCCTAATAATAATAACATCTGAGAATAAGCGTATAAAAATTGCCTACATCTGAGAATAAGCGTCCACATTTGTTTCCACTTCTCAATAATTAAACATGTATTTGTATAAAAATTCTCCTACTTAGCCCGATTTCATTGAAATTCATCAGGAGCAGACAAAAAATAGCTCTAAAGTAAAAAAAACTAATACTCTAACTAATACTAATATAGATTGAGAATAATTGAATTTGGTCAGATTGAGAGCCTGTTTGAATTGGTCGGATTGAGAGCCTGTTTGAACTTGATCGGATTGAGACTAATTGAATTTGGTCAGATTGAGAATAATAATTTAATGTTCGAATATATTTAAGAAATTAAAACTTTTCAAAAATTTATATAAATTATTAAACGTGCACTGTAAACATGTGACTTGAACTTTTTGGTATCAAAGTAAGTGAAAAGCACTATTATCGAAAACGTTTATTTATTTTTAATTACATTATTTTGTTTAAAACCAATTGTTGTTGTTGTTGTTATAATAAATGCATGGGAAACTGGGTTTACTGTACTAATGTCTTGAAAAAAATGCATAATTATACGTAGTTAATAGAAAACAAACAAGAGCATAATAGTTAAACAAAGCCGACCGATTAGACAAACTACACCACATTACAATTCTTCGTTTAGATTTTCATGATGAAATCTCAACAATTATACCTTGGGTTTCGATCGAAGGGCATAATTTCCGTGGGAGGCCTTTTATGGAAGAGAAACCAAAACGTAAACCAACGGGACCCAAATTTAGGAAAATTAATTTTCTTCTTTTAAAAACCTTATGTATTTCCTCCGAGTTCCGTCTTAAGCTAGTAGAAATTACACAGAGGCCTACTCTCAATTCGTACCATACGTAGTCCAAACATTATTTGTCTATATCATCTTACTACTATTGAGAACGCGACGCTATTTCCCATATAGCTATGTGCGGTTATTACGCCTCTAGCCAGTTAGTTATGTAAATATTGGATTCAACAAATAATGCCAAGGTACACGCAATAAATAAGGAGAAAATTTGATCCATACCTCAATCAGCAGTGTGTTGCATATAACTTCGGAAACGTAAAATGGATGATGAATTTAAATGAACAACACCTACAGGATGTCTCCTACCGGCGCAAGACGACGACGGCCAAAAGAAAACCTAGTGGATGTGCGCCCAATCGGTAAGTCTTATGTCTCTACTGACTGACCTACCACAAAAGTAAAGCTTTTTTTTGAAATACGACAAATGTGATAAAAGGTAAGGAAAGAATAACATTACGAAATGATCAGTTTGAACTATTCTCTTCGAGAACTATAGAAAATAGTTATAAAATGCAAACTTGTTCCGTTGACTAACTTGATTGTTGACTAACTGATAAATAATACATACAACTGTTTAACATATTTACATTTAGCACATATGTATATGAAGCACACCACTGTTACTTTGGGGAGCCGATGGCCTTTGATGTTAGAGGCCCTTTTCCTCCATGTTTAAGTTTGAGTTTTGTGCAGTGTTAATAAAATAAATAGATAAATGATAATCTCTTATTTTGAATTTCGAACAAAATGTCGGGCCATGTATTTATTTCGTTGGCTCTGGTAATGTGTGGTAAGTTTTTACTTGTACTTTCGTTATATTATATTCACACGATATAAATCCTCCCATATTTGAATTCACATCATTTATATTACCTTTGAACTCATACTTTCATTGACCCATGCATACTCATGCTCATATCTAGCCGCACTTTTGCATACAGTGCAATAGTTCCTGGACGCGACAACAGTAAGAATGCAGTTATTAATTTTTCCTTTTTGAGATAAGAAGGCATAAAAAAAAATAAAAGCAAAAAAATATATATATATGTATTCACAGATTATCTTATAAACAAAACATTTCTTTTATTTTATTATAGAATTATTTTTTTTTATACCTACCACTGAAGGAAGGAGGTGTACTCATTTTGCTTTTACATAACGCATGTAACACCCAAATCTCAATAAGCGTATATCCCTTGAGGGTTCAAGGAAACTAATTTTCGTTGGTTGCTGGCTTTCAAGTACAATTTATTTCGTGAGTGCTAATGAAAACAGACGGAGAGAATATTCATTTTCAAACTTCACTCTTTCAGCCTACAAATGATGTAACATTTTCAAGTCTGGCTTTTCAGCCTACAAATGATGTAAGCCTACAAATATACGAAGTATGTTTGTTGACACTTCTCAATACAGTCAAACCTGTTTTTGTGCGGATATAGGGACCGCAGAAAAAAAACCGCACAAAAAAAAATATTCAAAAATTTCATAAATAGCTATAAGAAATAATTTTTCACAGCATATTAAAGAAAATTTTTTTTATGCGGTAGAGTGGGACCGCATAAAAAAGTCTCACTTAGAAAATATGTCAAAGCTTCACGAAATAGCAAGGAAGTGCTTTCCAAACAAAATAAATTATTAAATTACACATTGAAACATTTAAAAAAATTTTAATTTCTAATTTTAAACAAGGAGAAATGTTCAAAATGTACATATTGAAATTGGCTGATGCAATATATGCATAAGAACATTGAGCATGCCTAATGATATAGGATGATGCAATAGGTTAGGCTGTTGCAATGTGTACATACACACTGATAGCAAAAAAAGTGATGCCAACACAGTTCACAGTTCACTAACGCTGACGCCTTATCAAGGATAAATATAAATTCTGATATATTAAAAGAGATGATTTCATTATCCAGAGAAAAAGACCAAGAACGGATAGTAATAACCAGAAGAAAATCGGCAAAAGGCAACACAAACAATGAACAAGTAAATATGTGGGAATGCACGTCAATAAATGACATTAAGAACACAGGAAAATTAGAATTCAAATTCGAAAGCGGTATAAAAGATGTTATAATTGAAGATATTAAGGAATTAAACTGCACACGTGTGAGATGCAATGAATATCCAGACCATTTCGATGCGCTATTGAAAAATTTACATCAAAACTAAACAAGTTAAATTTCTTAGACTATGCATTAAGTCACTTGACCACACTCAGGACATTTCGGAGTACATTCCAAAAAAATAAGCCAAAAATACATCTGGCACAATATGTTTAAGATGATAAAAAATTATATAAAACAATGCCACATTTGCCAAAAAGCAAACAAACCAAACATACAAAAGATAAATTGTAATTTTTCATACGTTAAGTTTTCAATTTTTAAAGCGCCTAACGACATTGAAATCATTACAGAAATAAAGATTACAACAATTGTAGATTGTTCGGGGGGCTCAGTTGACGTTTGGAAAGCCTTTGCAAGCCTTTGTGTAAATGGAATCTATCAGTTGCAATTGATAAAGGAATAGATTTCATTTTGATCCGGATTTTTATCTTCTCACTAATTTTTAACTTTAGGTTTCAAAGGTTATCGCTTCTCAATTAATGGAAAGCAAAGAGTGGAAACAAATTCTGAAGAAATTATAGTGTGAACACCTATCGCCAGATCCACAAGAATATACAATCATATTTTCCGCTTTTGTGTCACTTTGAGTGATTTATGGAGAATGGAGATCTACATGAACTCCATGATAAGTGCAAGTGGCGGAATCAATCTAATCATTGTTCACTAATCTATTCTGCAATAAATAATCTTCTATTCTATTAGTCAATAAATAATCTTTTCAACTACGGGTTTCAAGTTTTCAATTAATGAAAAGAACGACACTTTCTATAATATAATCTTCATTACAATCTTCGCCCAAAATAAATTCTACTATGAAAGACGTTACACAAAAGAAAATCAAAAAAAAGAAAAGCGAAAAAATTTGCGGTAAAAAAAAAGTTGGAAAAATTGAAAAGAAACTCCAACATTCCAAGCAATGCAACAATCTCAAATAAAATAACTGTTTAAAAAAGGCAAAAATATTTACTTAAAAACACCAATGAAAGCTAAAAAATAATATAAAGGAGAAAGCGCGTACCAATAAAAAAAGATACATAGGGCTTTTGTGAGGCGAAAAAAAAGAATTGTCCCCATGTAACGCAACAATTGAATATTTTTTTGTTTGCAATGAGAGCCAATTTTTAACATTTCAATCAACGAGGAAGAAAAACGGTTTTCACCTCTTTTTACGATTAATATGAATTAAATGGTGTAGGTGCACGACATTTTCTGAAACTATTGAGCTAAATGTCTGAGAAAACAAAAGAATTTTAAAGTTTATTATAGCTAAGACTACATTCTAAGTTAGGATTGTCTTGGGCACTGATATTGTTGATTTGCTCATTGAATTCATTACCAACGATTAACAACTCTTTGCTGTTTCGTCGCTTCTTGGAAGGTGGGTATATATCATTATTGCTACTGGTTTGGCTGTTACTTGCTTGGGCTGTGACACAACTTAATTCTACATTCGGTTCTTCGACGCTTGAATAACGTTTCTGTTTATTTAAAGCCAAACAAGTGCCACTGTTTCTATTATTGCTAGCATTTATAACATTATTAAAAGTTGCTGGTGTTGATATCGTGTTTGCTGTTAGTTGATGGCTTTTAGTGCTGGTTATAGCATTGACCATTTCAGCTTCTACTGATGGGGTCATTAGAGGTGATAAAGGAGCTTGATTTGTGTCTGAGTCCTCAAATTCTTCTTCGACTTTTTGATCTGCCAGATCGTCTTCAATCGTTTCATTCGAATCCGTATTCCAGGTGGCACCAGGAAACACGTAAGAAGCGCTACCGCCGTGACAATAATAAGTACCTTTAAATAAACGACCAGCTGCACTTTGCTGCAGTGAAGATGGTTGTTGTGGCCTGCATTTCAATATATATGGTTCTTGGGGGTTGTTTGTGGATGTTTCTGCATTTCTTTCCTTGCAAATTTTGTCCAACGAAGTCCTTGAAATGGTGCTAGTCGAACTTGTACTTGTAATTTGTAAATAATTACCGTTGCGCGTTCCTCCAGAATCACCTAAGGTGTTGAGAGGCAGAGGTAAAGCTTGTTTTAAAGCATCTCCTTGTATGCCACTATCTTTAGACGAATCTATGACCTCATAGTTAGCTCAATGGAATTATTTGATTTATGTTCGTCTTCACATTCCGCAGCTAAACATCTAAATTCATCTAGTTCTGTTTCTTTCTCCTCATCCAGAGGCATTAATTCTTTGCTTTCGCTTAGAATTTCATCATTGAAACAAACTTGTTGCCAATCTTCCCCCAAACGATGACATATTTGGTTGATAATGACATCACCGTCACCGAGCAGCTCAACATCGAATTCCAAATGATGCAGCTGTTCACGGTTAATAAGTATTTGTGGTACATTAGCCGGTATAGAGCTGGGTATAAGAGCTACCGGTCGCACTTTAAGGGACGAACCCATAACTATCAGTAAATCACATTTATCTTTATCGCTTGCCATAACTGTATGAAACTCAGAAATCGACACTCTATTCCGTACAAATCAAGCTAATTTTTGCATCAAAAATTCTGGTGTTGCGAAAAGGAATTTAGATTTTGACACATCTGTGTTACTGCCATCATACATATAAAGATAATTACTTACGACTTTACTTTCGCTAGAGAAGAAACATTAGGTGGTTACGTGGTGGAAATGTTAAGTGATGACATTGATTCATCAAATATATTAAACGAAATAAAATTCAATGTTCCCATCCACTCTTTAAGGAACTTTAGTTATTATAAGCGACTTACCGTTTTAAACGATATATAAAACCGAATCTCCTCATCGAATACATTTTACATACCATTAAATATACTTTTCGTAATATTCAACTGTTGCCGTTGTTATGCCGAAATCGAGACTTTTAGTTTTCAAAAACGAATTACGATCTCTTAATGATTTGACTTTGATCGATTGCTAAGCTTTCGTTTGATTGCGTGGGTTTAATGTTCTACTCTCAGTTTGATGCATATATAGTGGGACTGTATTTCCTGCACTAAACATGCATGTGTTTTTGTACCTGCTTTTTTCTTACTTATTTATTTATATATGTGTTTGGAAGTTTCCTAATTTTGTGCTTCTTGTTTAAATTTTAATTACAATGTCACAGCTACGCCTATAATTTTGGGTTCGCTTACTTCAGCTGAATATTTATTGTACCTGAATTTTATACGGACGGAGAAATAATTAAATGAAAAATGTTCGCTGTTACTTCTTTAATTTGAATTAAGTAATCCTAAAGTATCAAAAATCGGTGATAAAAATGCTTTATAAAAGTGAAGCAAAAGAGCCTTAAACGACGAAGAAAAACTCGGATTGTGAGTAAAACTAATTAAGTTTATATATTACGCAGATATATTAATGTCTTTAGAGTGGCTAGTTGTCTGTGAAAGTACAGCCACAGGTTAGTCAATGGCATACGGAGAATATATACTTGTTGCCACAGATCTGACAGCCACTAGCGTTACTGTCAAGCCATGACTTATCCAAAATCTCCTTTCTTTGGGTTAACCACTAGTTGCAAATTCAATGTATAGCGGCACAGCCAGACACTCCCGTCACTGCGAAATACTTTGAATGGGTTTTCCCAAACAATACAACTTCTGTAAAGGCTGAGATTTTTTACTTCTTCTCGTTTTTCTTTTTTTTCTTCTGCCCTTGTCTGTGAAATGGTAACCACACGTCCCCGGCTGTCGCATTTTATAGCCATTTCTGTAATCTTTTTTAAGTTGAGTAAGCGCAGTTATTGTTTTCACAGAGTAATCTTAAGCATGTTCATGCCTTTATATAAGTTACGCTATCCGCTTGCCTGCCATCTCCGAGAAAAACTCTTAACGATAATCGTCGCCTTTTCAAATATTTTCAAAACTCTTTACAAAAGGCTTTCTTCATATTATTAACTCAAGCGGTACTGTATGAGAATCTTGTCAACTGCAGTTAAAGTATTGTTATACATCTGTGTAAATGCACACACACCTTTACTCAATGCATTGCTATATTGCTATATTTGCGAAAAAATTTCGTCAGCACATCCTCACTGCATAAGAACTCGTGCGAGACTGAGTAGAAAACTAAACGTTGTGTTGATACATCTCTGTGAAAATGCACATGCAACCTTAATTTAATCTCGCATCGATGGCTTTTCTACAAAGGCCTGTTGAATGTTTAAGAACGAATATGCGCTCATTTTCTAAAGGCGTACAATACATGCAAAATTCTTGATAATTGTATACGCTTATTCTCAAAGCGGCACAATACATGCAAAACAAATGAAAACGAATATACGCTTATTCTCAAAGCGGCACAATATATGCAAGTGTTTTGGAAAATACGCGAACAAAACTTATTTAATTTTACAAGTTAGCCTAAAAGTAGACCGCCATCCTTTGGTGTTATTTCCATTAATATATCACGTAGAAATTCTAGAGTATTTAATTTCTTTACAACTGGATTTGCACGCATTTTGTTCAGCTTGGTTATAAATGGAAAATTAGAATTATATTTATACTTATATCGCTTAAAGAGGAGGACAGCCAACGGCTCACTGTAACGTAAACGCAGCTACAGCCTCTCAAAGCACAAAAATTCCTTAAAATTCACATTTTTGATTTAATAATAATTTGCACACATATGTACTATTAAAATCCAGACACGTTAAAAATCACCAGTTTGACGTAAAACAGGGAGGTAATCACGTATCTAAAAATATTTGCAGCTGGCAGTATTTTCAAATTGGCTATAACCGCATTTTTAATTTGTGTAAACACTTGCATGAATTATGATCAAAATACCCTCCACAAACCTGTCATCTTCACAATGTATATAACATAATGTACATAACGTAATACAACACAATGTACAGAAAGTAAATTTCACTCTTAAGAATAGAAGGTGGGTAATAACATTTTTGTCTTTTGTTTGCAAATCTTTTTATAAATGAAGCTTAAAGTAAAAAAGCATCTTACTGAGTGCTGCTTTCACGAACCAATAAATGTTTTAAGCGGCATAAAAAAAGAATGTAGAAAAGCAAGGAAAAAAGAGTCCTGTATGTCTCGTACACTTTTGAAGTTAGAGCCGTGTATACGTGAATAGAAAATTCTATAATTAATTGAATGTTTAGCAGTAAGTTAAGCAGTTACTATTAACATAGTGAAAACGTTTTGAGGTTAAATTTACGTTAACATTGCGCAGAATAAACGGAAACCAACAAAAATAGGTTAACGTGATGTATCACAATCCAATACATGCACAAACATGCATTGTATCTACAATCAATAAGAGAAACTTTTCCTCCCATTTTAATAAATAGATTTCTTAAGAAATTTTCATGAATTCTTCTTAACAAAAAAAAAAATTCAATGGAAGACACCGAAGAAATATCAGAGGAATCCGAAGCAGAGCCTGAATTTGTAACCAGTGTTCCACCGGACATAATACAGCTAAAGTAAATCAAAACGACAAATACACTGACATCTTTTAGGTCTAAACGCAAAAGGTCAAAGAACTTATGCGTTACACTGTGTTGCTTTTAATAAATTGTATGAATGCTTTCTTCATCCATTCCTGCCAACCCTTAAAAATGACTCAGGAAAGAAATTGTCACGTTTTTTTTCCTTTGTTTATGACTTGATATAATTCGTCCGCAAATATTTTTTCTTTATTTTGAACTTAAACAGATATTGAACATGCGTAAAAATTGGATTATTCCCGCTTTACAGATCCTTAAGCGATAAAGAAAGAAAATCTTTTTTGTTATAGGTTAGGAAATGTGAAGCTGTACTATAGTGCTTGCTAGCTGACTGGCTGACTTAAGCTTTTTTAATCCCTTTCTTTGTACATTCTTTTTCAATAAAAATAAAAATAAATACGTAATTTATATATTATAAATATCAATTAAGATTTACATTTTTCATTCCTTTTTCTTCAAATCATTTTTTGCTATTTTAGTACAATATTTAGTAGATATTCAAAGATGTTAAAAAAACAAAGTATTCTTCAGAGTAGTTAAAAAAATATATTAATATAATCCAAATCGTATGGGAGATTAGTATCATACAAACACTATTACAATACACAAAAAATAAAATTAAAATAATTGGAACTAAAAATGCGACTGCTTCAAGTTTTCTTTTTGTTTTGAGTATTGGTCTATTTAGCATTTCTCTTCGTCTAGTCCGTGTTTGAAGAACATAAGCACAGGCGTGCTAACGCCGTCAATATCGCGATACTCACACATTGCTACCATGCCATCGCAGTCCATAGATTCGCCGGTAAAGAATTGCAAGTCCTTAAAACGACCCAAAATCTCCTTCATCACTTTATTCATGTTAGTTTTGAACACTTCCACCTGATCCGGTGATTTTTCCTCTAATTTAGTCAATACCTTTTTCATATAGTCTTTTAGATATAATGTGAAAGATTTTTTATCGCCAAATGCAAAACATTCTTGTAATCGATGATTAAGAACAACATCAACTCCACTTTCAGTACTAGTTTCTGTTCCCTCATCAGCTTCCTCAGCAGAAGGATTAAAGCCTTCAATTCGTATGTCACCTTCTGAACGGGTAACTAATTTGCCGTAAACTTCATAAATTACATCATCGACGAGCTTTACTTTGTAGGTATCGGCAAACATTTCATCACCAGTTATAATATCCTTATAGATTTTCATGCTCTCGGATGTCTATTACCGTGTTGTAAAAAATTAAATCAAAAATAAATTTTAGTAGTCACCGAAAGAACACACAAATGCGGGAATCCTCAACCAACGTGGCTCAATTTCAACAAGCAAGCAGAAAAGAAGAAAGATAAACGGGAAAAATGTAATGGCGACATTTAAAAGAAGGGCTGCCAAACTATTAACTTATTTAATGCAATATGTTATAAGGAACATAGGAGGGTGTGAAGTAAGTACGATTTAACAGAAAATAATATATTGGATCGATTGGGCCAAAGCAATGCTTATATACCTATAATAACGAAGTAAGATTATGATTAACAAAAATTACCCGTTTTGTAGGTGCTAGGATTCAAATAATGCTAATAGTCACCTGATTTTATAAGAAGTCATTGAAATTAATTTTAACTAATGATCTTGTATAAGATATTTTGGTTTCAAAGGCATTTTAAATTTATGAAACAATTAAATAAGAGGTTCATTTAAAAATTAACACTTACAAACTTTTACTAACCATAATGAGGTATGTGGATTTATAATCTATAAATAAGATGCCGCTTGTTGCAAAAACTCTTTCAACAAGCGCTTTAAAAACCGGCCCTACCCGCCGTAACCTCTGCAGTTTCTTTTTTATTCCTTTTTAAAGAATTAAACCGCCTTATATGAGGTTTATGACGGCTTTATTTCTAGATTTGCGGATCTACGTAACACTGTACAAGGAGGAGCCGACGGCTTTGCATTTAACAGAATCGAATCCCTTGGGTCTGTTATTTAACAGAATCGAATCCCTTTTGTCGGTAAAGTTGGGAATTTGGTTTGTTATTTAACAGAATCGAATCCCTTTTGTCGGTAAAGTTGGGCATTTGGTAAGGCGCTTTCAAAGTAATTCTAATGGAATGGTAACTCTGCAACACAAACAATTGGAAGGCACTGCCAGCTTAATTAATCCAATGTTAAAGAATATACCAATTTTTGCAACTATGATTATTGACAGCTGGTTATAGAAAACTAAGAGAAAGGATAGATATTTTTCAAGTCTAAGTGTTTGTAAAAATATACAAATATGTAAGTTTTTGCCTTAAAAATATATTCTATTTCTTAGATTTCTGTTTTTTAGGTATGCTACTACACGTTCCTTAACACGTTCTACGGTTTTTCGCCAAAGCTTATCGCTATCTGAAGCCTATACCGCCCGTCATGTAGCTATGAAAATCGTACCGGTTGATACAGTAACAAAAAAAGAGACGTTTTTTGAAAAAAATGCACGTTTAGGACGTGAAATGTCGCCTCACTTAACCATTTATCAGCCACAGTTAACCTCACTGCTGTCGGTTACTCATCGTGGCACTGGTATGGTGTTGACTGCAGGGGTTTGGGCGTTGGGATTAGCAGCTTTAATATCGCCGCAAGATATTGGCAATTATGCCTCAGTAATCGAGGGGCTACATTTAGGTGGTGCCACCTTGACATTTTTGAAATTTATGTTTGCTTTCCCATTGGGCTTCCACACCGCAAATGGAGTACGTCATTTGCTTTGGGATACTGGGCGATTTTTGAAAATCAAAGAAGTTTATTCAACTGGTTATGTAATGGTTGGCATGTCATTCGTTTTAGCCGCCATGTTGGCTATGATGTAAAGCAATGGAATGTATTTTATCTAAGAGAGAAATCAATGTCTTGCTTGTGATGAATTTTACCTTGTAAAATTTGCTCTATATAATATGGAAAATATTATTAAGTGCATATGTACCTTTGCTAAAAATAAATTCGTGCAAAAAGTGTGTGATGTAATCAGCTAACGTAAAAAATGCGGAGAGATAAGATAATCGTCCAGGCAACAAAGGATATTAGGGTAATGAGAAATTATAGAAGTGTGAGCGAAGCATATGCCTATGTGCAAGCGTCAGCGTATCTCTAAGTAATTGAAGACAATAAACTTCTTAACTCGTATTCAATCCTTTCGATACATTTTGTGGTGTAACCGTTTCTCTATCGTTCATATACTTTTGTGTAAGACCAGTTTATGATGATAAAAATCAGTGTTATTAAAAATATTTTTCATAGTCGTCCGAGTCTCTTGTTGGTCTTTATTGCTTGTAAAATGATGTATCTTTTTTTTCTTTTGACTTATTTATTATTTGTTCTGATGTTATTTAGATTCAAGCAATATTCGTTTTTATTCGATCGATTTGGCATCGTGATGCTAGATACTGTCTTGTTGGGAGAGTATTACATTTTTAATTGGTAAACGGGTTTGGCTTCGAGTTATTACGTTATTTTATATTGCAAAAGTTTCATATTCGTCGGCTAAGACGCCATTTGTTATCGCTAAAGTTATTGCAACGGAATCGATTTTTTTCGTTTTGAAAAGCTTTCCGCGTGATTTCATGCATATAAAATACATGTTAGATGTCACCCGGGTATATTACCCTATTCTATTCGATGAGTGACAATCTATTAAGGGATAACGGCTTAAAAGGGTGCTTTCTGTATTTTTTTTAGGATGGAAGAAAAATTAACGAAATAATAAGCAAAGGCCAGCCCAAATTTAAAGTGAAAAAATGCTATTTATAAGTGATAAACCATGAATATTCAAGAATATTGTGATTGGTTCACATTTGAATGGCAAAGCGTAATTATTTGCGAGAAAAGCAATGTTTCTTTAATAAATAATCTAAATTAACTTAACGGAAATCCGCTACGTAATTAATATTAATTTAAACATTTTGTGAAATAGCTCGAAAAACGAATGATTCTCCTTGAATTGTTTCTTGACGTTTTAAAAAATGTTATTTCGAGAAAACCGCCTTCAAGTAATCCCATTTTTGGATCATTTCAAATTCCTTCCTTCCCATAGTCAGTTTCTAAATCATTTTTAAAATACATCATTAAAGTTAATAAAAAAAAAAAATGTATTTTCTGAAACTGCTAGAATGGATTTGCTTTTAGTAGATTAAGTGGAATCTTCGTCCAATACTTCTTGCAAGCCTTCACACGACCTCGGCAAAGGTACTCCTTTCAGCACCGCCTATATCATGTTTGTCATGTGTCATGTGTTTGTCGTTATGTATTTTGCTGCTTTGAGGATTAAAACCATATATTTCGGGAATCGAAAAAACTTTTGCCTTATATGTTCCAATAAATTATTGAAAGTTAAATATGAAAGTTTCCTGATACTTTGAGCTATATTCTGACTAAACGCTAATTGAAAGACAAGATAATGTGTCTTCTTTTTATAGCTTTTTCGACTTCATATCAGATTTGTATCACTCAACAAGACTCGTAGGTATCAAAATAAATCACGCACCACAGCCGCGGACAAAAATATGCCTTGTGACTTGTCAAAGGAAAATATTTGCTTTGTTTAGCGCGTTCATCATTTGACTTTGAATATGTTAAGGCAAAATAAAGCAGCTTAATAATAATTAAAATGTAATAAAGAAAACACAATAACAATACTTATAAGAAGCCGCGTCCGCTATTAAGACGACGGCTAATTAAAAACTGGTGCCTGACAGCGAAAAATATAAGATAAGCTGGCAGACAGAAGGAGAGAGCGAAAATTTCAAAACTTGACTCATACCTGCCTGAAATAAACAATGGGTAGGGTAGTTTAAAAATTGTCTATTGCACTGTGCTACATTTTCTTATTGTTGCTATAGTTTTATCTCTTCTATTTTTTTTACTTCCTGTTTGATTATTTATTTTGTTTCTAATTTTTTTCCTGTTGTTTAGTATACTTTCAAAAGAAAAACTAAGTTTAAGTATCCATCTAAATACTTAAAGACATACTTATATAACCGCATTTAGATGTGCACACAGATACATTCCAGGAAAGTTGTTGGCCCATCGAAACGGAGTGTAGGCAACAATAAACTTTTCTGAACAATGTACAACACATAAAGTAAGAGAGAAAAAAAAAAGAAAACCTAAAGAAGAGCAAAACTTTTGTTCCTTTTACACACTTAAAAGCGAAACAATAGACTCATTGAAAAATCATTATAGGAGTTTTTTCGTTTCTGTTGTTGGATGCCGTGGATTGAGCTATTGTTTGATTTATTAAGTCAAGTATTCATGTATGAGTATCTACTACCAATCGTACGGAGTCACTGGCCTACTATGGCAGTAAATACGTGGGAAAAGTTATTTGAAGTACTCTGTGCTTGATACACACAAACACATTAAATCTTATGATACGTTTACGTCTTTGCAAACATCTTAAGAGTTTAGTAAATCTAATTGAGAGAAGTTTTCGTAGGTTTTTCTAACAACTCGTCGGCCAATAAATAGGGTTCCAATATGCGGGAATTAGTGGGTTGAGTCACTGATGCTTGAAAGGCTATATGGTAATGTAGGGCCCTGAGGAAATTTATAACGGATGGCTACAATCTCGTAAATTTTAGAGCAGTTTGTGTTAATTGTGATTGTGATAATAACATAAAAATGTTTACAGAAAATATTAAATTTTAATTTGAAATTTCTCCAACATTTAAGTACTTTTACGATTTTTAGCGAAATCGTAAAAGGAGAAAATAAATGAACATCTTAAGTGTGCTCGTTTATTACGTTATTATTATTTAACATTGAGGATGTGTAGGTTTGCCAAGAAAAATTTAAAATTTGCAAACGTAAAAATTTGATATAAAAAATGGTTGATGAAAATAGTCAGTTAATCGAAATATTCTTAATACGTTTAATTGGTCGTGCAAGTGACTATATTGCTACGAAAATGCAATAGTTGATGAATTAAGCCTTCATGAAAATTAGTCGATTTTCTAAGAAGTCAAATTCTAAAGAAAGGGAAGGACAAGTGCGCATTCTGGCGCGTTAACTGTGTGATGCAGGGCATTAATTATGTAAAGTGTTAACTAGGTTTTTGTTTCGAGTTTCGACCTTTTTAGCTATACGTATGCGTAACTGCGAGGAACGCTCTTCCAGACGTAGGCAAAATTTCTCATGCTTTGCGTTAGTATTGATTGTTCAGAGCTGCGTTTGTAGGAGAAAACACCTGCAAATTGAAAATAAAATAAATTGCGAAGAAAATTGTTTACTTACAGGCAGCTGCAGCCAAATTAAAGTTTTAAAGTTGTTGAAGCTAACTCTTTTTTCGCTTTTTACTCCAATTGTCTAATTAGTATCCTTAATTCGACAAAGCTTATAATCAATTGTGTGTCATCAATCTTTCCATACATCATCATATGCTGCCTCTATCGTTGATAAATCGTAACGTAGCAACAAATAATAAAAACTGATCATTCCATTTGATATGTTGGTGCTATTGTCAAATGGTTTAACCCATTTTACGTAGCAAAACAAACACAAGTAAGAACAGACCCTACACCACTTCACCAAGTACAGTTATTCGCGCGTTTTGGTAATAATACTCCAAAAAGTACATATTATTTTCATAGAAAGCCGTAATTATCATGAAAGCCCATATATTGGAAAGTTAGCTTTTCTTCCCATATAGGAGCTGGTGTTTCCTCATAGCGCCTATATACGCCGGGATCCAAAAAAAATAGACCTATGTGATCCAAGTTCACTACCGCTAATTATTTTGGTGAAATGCTACAATGAATCAATTTTCATCATAAAATATTAAAAAGTAACTCTGTTTTCGAAGGACTTATTGCTCATGGGAAATCTTAAATCAAGTGGCGCGAAAAAAAAACCCATGTAGTTTCAGTCAGGTCCACTTAATTTTTTTATATAATTACCATCATAAACAAATATTCATCACAAAAACATTAACAATTAGGTTTATTTGGCATGTTCGTACTAACTTAATGCACACTGTATCACACGTGATGTGGGATATAAAAAAGGTGTGTAAAATGTTGTTGTTAAATAATCAAGTAATGTTGAGAAATACAAGTAAATCAGGCGGAATGGATGCTTTCCTTATATTACGTCATTTGACAGTAGAGGAGCATAAAGAGTGGCGGAAAAGGGTTCTAATAAAACGTACTCGAAACTTCAAATTCTCTTACGTTACGGTATGCGTAAGCAAATGATATTACGCATCTGTCAACAACGTAAATACACATATACATTTAGACATTTGCAGAAGTTTCTTGTGTCAAAAGAAAAAGTGACAATGAGTGACGGTATAAAGAGAACTTTTATGGCTCCAGTAATCCGTTTAGATTTTACTTTGGATTTGCTGCGGTCTGCAGGGTGTAAGCGTTGTAGAACAAACGACGATTCAAATATTCCTAATATTTATCGAAGTGACTGGATGCGTAGACGGCCCCCTCATTTATTTTCGTAAGCCCGCACAAGATGAAGAACGCTTCAAAAAGCAATTGAAAGGTGGTTAGTTATTTTGACAAGATTGGCTACAGGCCTGGCAATTGAGGCGAGGAAGTGGAGAAATAATAACTGGCATATCTTCTGCGCTTTAAAATTGAATTGTATTGACATAAAAAGTATAAACAATAAATCCGTTTTAAGATGTTTTGTGAAAATTAAAGAGTTAGTTTTTATTTATATAAAATGAAACAAGGATTTAAAATATTATGCATCCTTAATAAGTAAATTCATATGTTAACGTATTAATATATTGTATAAAATAAAAATAAAGTGATACATGCTCAAAGTTCAAGTTCGTAATTCAAAATTTTTCTAAGAAGCGAAAATGTGAATTTTTGCTTAATTTTATTTTATCAAAAGTTTTACACAATTTTGTTTTTACTTATGTATGATTTTCTTATTGATTGGGTCATTATAAATAAATAAACATCAAATTTGCCCCGTATTTTCCCATTATCTTTTCGAAATATATATCGAATAATGAAAGCCATACATAACTCACA